GATTTGATTGACAAATATAAACAAATTTTATGATGCATCATATGAAAGGAAAATCCAAAAACGTTTTGTATCAAGACACACGATTTTATTTAAAGAAACAAATCTTGAATAAATGATAAAAAAAGTGTGGGGAATCAGTATTCACACACAATTTTGAAAGGGGAATTTAGGTGAAGACTGTATTGTGCTACTCATTCTTTCCAACCTTTAGAATTTATGAAAGCCAATATTCAAGAAAACAGCTATAAACAATACCACAGTTTTACCAAATAACAAACTAATTACTCAGAAATCAGTAAATGAATTACCTTTCCGTTGAAAAGTGGAACCATATTTGTGCTTGATACACTTCCTCCTTGTCCTATTAAGGAAGGCGTTTCCTCCATGGAATAAAAGCTTTTCAATTCTGGCAAATCTTCCAGTTTCAAAGAGCGCAACTGACGAAACTCTACAACATTGTCTTCCCTTCCCTCCTCCTCTACAACTATCTCTTTCATGTTCTCGCACTCCCTTACGCGAATTTCTTGAAGTTGGTAGAGATTGTTTGCCATGGAGACTGAGAAAAGATACTTCAATCTATCACACCCTGCAACTACTACGGTTTTTAGTCTGCTAAATGATTCTGTTTTGAGTTGACCATCACATATCTTCTCCAAAACAGTTAGCTCTCCAAGCTCCAATGACTCTAAAACAGGAAATGCTTTATGTGGAGCCGACCCCATGGACTTAATAATACATTTCATGTCTGAGGAATTATCAACTCTGAGATGCTTCAAATGTGGAAAACCTTCCCTATCTAACTCATAGAGCACATTCTGGGCCCCTTTGAATTCCTTTATACGTAACTCCTCAGTTTTCTCTACCAACATTTTAATCCCTTCTTCTAAATGAATACCAGTATCTAATTTAAGTTGCAATGCTTTTGAAGCTTCACACTCAAAAAAATCCCAATCAAAATTTCCTATGGCAATCTTGTATCTTCCCAACTTCACAGAGAACAAGTCTTTTGGCATAATTTGGGCATCAGGAATATATACATGCAAGGCAGACAAACAAGACAAGTTCAACTCTGGAAGTTGTGCATTTCCTTCAACATTCCATTGACCGAAGCTCTTGCTAACATAAAGCTCTTCTAATCTAGACAACTTTGATATGACGTTTGCTGGGATCACTTTAAGCCTGGAACATTCACTCAAATCTAATACCTTCAGTTGGGTCAATTCTGCTATCTCTACTGGCAATTGCTCAATTCTAGAATCCTGAAAGCTAAGGATATCTAACTTCTTTAGATTCCTTATGATGGCTATCTCAGACAAGTTGCATTGATACAAACGCAAAGTTTGAAGGTTTGTTAATGAAAGAAAAGATGAAGGTAGAGATGGAAAACTCATACCAGTCACATTTAGCACCTTCAGCTCATTCATGCCTTCAAAAAAAGTGTCTGAGATTTGGAAAGAAGAATCTTGATTCAGCAACATGAGTAGCTCCAGTTTCGAGCATTCCACACCACAAAGCTCATGAATATTACTGTATGGCAATGAAATAGCAGTGCAGTCATTGAGTTTTCCCTTCTTCAATAGTTCTTTCATACGACTTTCGTCCTCTATGACCAACATCCGCTTATCTTTAGAGGCGATTGAAAGGGAAACATCACGAATGAGATCATGCATCTTCACCCATTTGTCACCTTTTCCCTCCAGTAGCAAGCTAGAAGCTTTGAGCTCATGAACCAGTACATCAATTCTTTTCCTTGCTTCTTCCACAGTGTTGATGCCTTCCAACAAATTCAAACCAATACTATACTGTAGCAAATCAGAGACAAGAATATCAAAACCTTGAGGATGCAGGCCGCAAAGCAGGAACACAGATTGCTCTTCCTCATTGCTCAACCATCTGTAACTCAACTCTATAGTGGAATATACATCGTCTTGCATCCCTTTTATGTTTGATGGAATTGATCTTTGCAGCTGCCGCAAGGCATCCTCCCAAAAATAGAGTTCCTTTGCTTTCAATGTATTTGCAATTGCTAAAATAGCAACTGGCAGCCCTGCGCATTTTTTCACCAATTCATCCGCTATACGTTGATGATCATCAGATTTTCCAACGGCTTCACCAACTATATTTGCAAACAGAATCATTGATTCTTCTTGAGATAAGATTTTGACTTTGAAACTCCTCTCAGCATCCATAAGGCGGAGCACATCGAGGCCTCTGGAAGTCAGCAATATTTTGCATCCAGCAGTAGAAGATTTTTGAGCGGCCTCATTATCAAATGAGATCCCGACAGCTTCAAGATCGAGTTTCTGCCAGAGGTCATCTAAAATTATGAGGATCCTCTTGCCATTCTTCAATCGCTGCCGTAACTGCATTGCTCTTCCACTATCAGTCTCAACATCAAATTTGAGGCCCAACATCTCAGCAATTTCTCCTTGAATTTGTCTTATGGCTGGATTGTGTGAAACCATTGCCATCGCCACTTCGTCAAATAAGCGTTCTTCCCTGACTTTACTTGCAACTTTTTTTGCAAAGGTGGTCTTGCCTACACCAGCCATCCCGTGTACTCCAACTATTCGGACACTTGATTCCCTTAAGGCCTCCATAATCCCCTCCATGGCACTTGTTCTTGATTCGAAGGCCTTGTAACCTTTGATTACTATCCCCTCTGGAGCAACAGAATACGAAACTTTTTCGAATTTGCCTTCTCCCAGGAGTTGAATAATAGCCTGCGCCTCTTCCTCTGCTTTCTTGCTAAGCTGGTAACGAGACTTGAAATTAGGACACAACCCAATGAAACACTTCTTCTTGGCTTTCTCTTCATCCTCCTTCAACTTGTCCCCACCCGCTTCAGCTAATTTCTCATCGACGTTGGCCATCCATTTCAGGACATCCTTTTCAATCTCTTCCGCATTCCTTAGGGCCCTATCAACATCATGCTGCACTCTCTCTCGGGCATGCATCAGGTCTTGAACTTTCTCCTTGAGATTCTGGACTTTGCTGTCAACATATATTACGTACACAAACCCACGTTTGATGACACCAAACGTGTATTCCACAACTTTATTAGCAGCGTCACAAACAATGGATTCCATATTTTAATGGAATACGCAAATTAATGGTGGAAAATCGAAGTGAATGTCTGGTGATGAAGCAACTCCTTAGAAACAGAACACTCACTGGCAAAAGAGACAACAATGACAACAAGAGATAAAAATTCATAATGGAGTATAATTAATTATAATAAAAGATGAAACCAATGGAAGTGAGTTTAAAAACCGTACCTCCTCCTTAAGTCAAAAGAAAGACATCGATCAGCTGGGAGTTTCTTCCAAGCCGAACTTCAAAAAGAAAAAAAAAAAAACTGATGCCGAAGAAGCTGAGAATCAAGAGAAAAGTTATAAATTCTGATCAGGAAGTAACGTGGAAACAGAAGAGCAAGAAAGTTGGAAACAAATGAATACTACTTGGTACCATTCATAAAGATTTAAAAGATATATTATTTCTACACTTACTAGTCTTACAAATAACAGTGGTTATGACCGAAAATACTAACAGCAAGCAAATCTCTTAAGAACAGAGCCTCACTGGCAAAAAAAACAACAAAAACAACAGCAATATTTGAGAAAACTGATGCCAAACGAAACGAGTGATCGAGCATAGAACCAAAAGGAAGTTAAAGTTGTAAATTCTGGTCTCCAACAAGTGTGAAAATTAAACAAACTAACTAATATGAAGATTTAAAGATGACAAGGTAAACGAGCATGGAAAGTGCAGAACGCATTAATAATAGAAAACAGGTTATGCAGACAGCGTTTCATGGCTTCCAAATGACAGCTACATCACAGCCGCACATCTCGTTAATTTTTCAACTTTTTAAATTTTCTTTATTGGGATTTAAGATACGTAGAATAGAAAAGACTTATATAAAATCTGTGGAATTCGTAAAATTTTTTTATTAAACATGATTTAATAAAAATTAAAATATAAAATCAAAATCATATGTAATATAGCCTTTATGTAATATAGCCTTTAATCTTCATATGTGATTGACGTAATTTCTTGATTTTGTACAAAATCAAAGAATAACATCGAGACATTCGAGCCAAATAGTAATATCACCATCGGACAGCAAGAAAATGATATACAAATGTGAAATATGAGCTTGTATGTATTCGCACACTTGTTTTATACTCATTAATGAATATTTAGAAACATTCATTTCATACATTCTGATTCTTTTATTACGATAATTTAATAGGAATCAGTGAGCTCAAACACAAAAATTTTCAGATGGGATGTCTGAAAACAAAGACATCTATGGAAGGATGGATCTTTCACAGATGAAACAATCAAGAAAATGGTAAAAAAGATTATATGTATAGCTACTTTTTTTATATAATGTATGATAGGCATTATGGTTGTATGCATGAGTGTATACTAGCTTGTGTAAATTTGTTCTAACAGCCCAACTTACTATTGTCTTTCAGGATGATTATGCTGCTAAAGTAAAATCTGGTGAACTGACAACCTAGTATGACAAAGATCTTTTGTCTTTAGCATTAGGTGCTAAAGAAAGGCCTAGTTGGGTTCATGGGGTTGGTAAATTTGTCTTGCCATCAACGTATTTTGGTAAACAACCAAAAACCCCACGAATGAGAAATGCACAATATGAAGCAATAATTAAGCAACAATAGCAACAAATTAATGACTAAGAGTAATGTCTCAATGACCAACAACAAAGACTCGTTGCTTTGGAGTCCATGTTTCTAACAATGCAGCAAGTTATGCCAGTAGCCCGGCCTGATAGCATCGTCTTCATATGAGAAGCTTCTGTTATAAGTGAGGAAGTGATTCCATCATTCGCTACCACTTAAAAAGTATAATATTGTTTATAATTTGAATATTAATTTGTTTATTATATTGATTGATTTGGTTTTAATACTTATATTTCATTAAATATTGTAGAAGGATGTTTAGACTCAAAGTCTGACCCTTGCCCAGGCTTCTATAGATGAGTTAACAAAATATTCACTAGAGCATTTATCCAACGAAAGCTTCATATCCATTGAGTTTGAGAAAAACTTATTTGATAAACAATCATTTTCTTTCATTGGTGTGGATGGGGTGAACGAATTTTATGAAATGGATGAATTATCAGCTGTTGAAATCGTTACTTATATGATGTTAGCTTATAAATACAAATATGCACATTCAATATGTAGTACGTTAGTATTAGGGTGTAATACTAACCAGTAGTGTTGATTGTTATCATATAGCTTCCTACATAGAGAGCTGAAGAGAAGACAGTTGATGAACAGATTTAGATTCATTGATCCAAACTTCATTAGTGAGCATAGTGGCACAGTCGTGTATCATGCTAATCATGTGATCTTATGCATAAAAAGACTGACTGATTATTATTTGCTCCCGTATAATGCGCAGTAAGTTATATTCCAATCTTAATTACTCTAACCTGCTCCATTCTATGATCTGATGTGTATTCTAAGCATATCATTGTTATTATTTTGCAGTCATTATTGGGTGCTTATTGTGATTGATACCAAATCCTTAACGCCATACTTTCTTAATTCAGTTAATCCAACGACGATGCCTAACCCCGATATTCAAACTTTTATAAAGAGGTATTATAGTACTTTATTATATTATATATATTTTGTTTCTTCATAAAAAATTTTATTTATGTTCCCACTAATTTTTTTTCTTTTCAATTTAGGGTAATATCTTCATTCAATAAGAAGATAAAGAAACTGAAATGGGTGTCATTATCGATAAATGTAAAATTTATTCTTGTAATGTTGAGTTTGTATAGATAAATATTTTTTAAACCAACTCAATTTAATTTTCAGGTACCTCGTCAACCCGATAATACTGAATGTGGATATTATGTCCTTCATTTTATGTAAAGATAATGTTACATGATTTTATGACCACACCATTCAAGGTTAGTATATATTTCATAAACTTGTTATGTAATCAAAAAAATAAAATGGTACATTATGTTCTCATTTCTTAACATTTACTTCTGATTTTTTTTTTAGTGGGAGGGTAAAGAAAACTTCATGGAAGAGGAGTTGGATAAAGTCTGTAAAGAATGGTATGATTATATATTGTCATTTATCAATGTTGATAAACCTTCAGGTTAGACATTGTTGGTTGAATGTAAATATATATGAAACAAATTGTTATAATGTTTTTAACATGCCATGTTGAATGGAAACTTTAAGTTTGTACATTAGGGGTATTGGTTTAATGTTATTGTTATATTTAATATGAATACACTATGTGTACTTAATAAATTACTAAGTACGATTATTTCAGAAAAGTATATTAATATGACAACGTTATTTGTTTTAATTTCGGATATGTGGTCAATTTTTTAAAATACAACAATGTTCATTATGTAAATTCTGAAATGTAATTCATAGTATCAAATATATAAACCAAATGTTTTCTAGGCATAAATATACAACTGACAGCAAACTTTTTTCTGGTATAAACTTACAACTAACTTTACATATAAAGTATCAATTATGTTTTTATGATGCGATTAATGAAAGCATTTTTAGCAAGAAAATGCCTTCAATCACCCCTAATAGAAAATATGGAAGGCTTTTTTTTTACCAAAATCACCTTTAATAATCCCCATAGAAAATTATTGTCTGGAATATTAAAGGTATTTTGGGTAAAAAACGTCTTCAATAATACCAAATAAAAATTAATCAAATGGATTATGAAGGGCGTTTTCCTACGGTAACGCCTTCAATAATCTCTAACAAAATATTTATAAAGGCATTTTTGGATATAGTTGCTTTCAATAATCCAACCATTAAAATTTATCGTTGGGAATATTAAAGATGTTTTGACCTAAAAACGCATTCAACCATCCCATCCAAGTTTTCTCTATGGAATATTGAAGGTGTTTCTTACAAAACCGCCTTTAAAAATCACAAAAAAAAAATTTATTGATTGGATTATAGAATGTGAGTTCAACCAAAAACACATTTAAGAATCGATTCCATATTTTTCTTATGAATTATTAAAGGCGTCTCTCCACGAAAAATGCCTTCAATATTCTATGAAAAAAATTTTAAAGCAATTGGTGAAGGCATTTTTGCTAAGAAAATGCCTAGAATAATCAATAACAAATAATCTGTGCAAAAACCCAAAAAAAAAGGCTAAAGGATGGATCGAACCAACAGCCTTATGGTAAACATCTGTACAATCCAAACAATTTGATAAGCTTAATATTGAATGTATTTTTGAACAAAATAAATTCAATAAGCTTGGGAAAATTTTTGGTCCAAATATTAAAGGTGTTTCTTGTAGACAACGCCTTCATTAATCTTATATAATTTTTTATGACGTGATTATTGAAGGCATTGTTTGCCAAAAATATGCCTTAACTATTCAGTAAAATTTTTAATAAAAAATATTCAAGGCGTTTTAGACGAGAAACGCCTCTAATATCAAGTCTTGGGTGACGTTTATAAGTAACAATGCTGTTATTTGAATATTTAGTGGCGTTTGGATAATAAATGCCTAAAATTTTATAAAAACACGGAAGCTTATAACATTTGTAAGTGAAAGGTCATTATAAAACTGCTGCTAATATGCTATTTTACTATAGTGGGTATTATTAATGCCGTCTCGTGCAACATGTTGAAGTTTCTCTTGTATATTTTTATACTTTTATATTTATGAAATTAATTAAACTTATTAGCGCTATAGTTTGTATACTTTTATATATGAAAGCCTCGGTCCGAAAGTTGAATGAATATGGGGTTAAATAAACCAAGTTCTCAATGAAAATTAGATTATGCAAATAGTTGAAATGAAATATCTAATCATTATATAAATTACATGTAATTACGTATAGAAAATTTTTACTGTACACTAGCTCTAATGTACATATTAGATCTAAATAATGCTATTGTTGCATAATTTTAATCATTAATACATGGAGGTAAAGGACCACAAAAGTTCGCTTCTCTTTACCACACTTACCTTTCCTTAAAGAATAAAAAAACGTAGATGTCAAAGTCCTCCGTGGCATGACAAGGACATCGATCGTTTGGAAAACACAGGTTTTCAAACCAAAAAACAAAAAAAAAAACTTAGGTTTATTTGGTTGAAATATATTTACATTGGAATTAGTAAAAAGAAATAAGACAGAAAGAAAAAAAATAAAAAGCATTCAAATCTAGAATTTTTTTTTTGTGAAAAAATTAATTTAATTATAGTTTTGTAGTCAACAATGAGATGCATTAATTATGTTAGGGATCACCACAGCTCTCATACTATTTGTTGGGCTAAAAGCCTCCAATCCAATCACACTAGTAGAAGTAAAATCAAACAATAAATCAAACACACAAGAGACAATAATTTAACGTGATTCGATCCAGCTAACCTACGTCCACGGTTGAGAAACAAGATCTACTAGTTTTAGAGAATTACAAACATACATCAAATCATCAACCTCACTTAACAATTAATACTTATAAGATACTCTCAATCTTTTCTAGTCCTATGAAGTATTTTTAATCCAAACAAACATAAACCTAAACCTTTGTGTACATTTTCAACATAACCAAACACATACCCATATGCTCCCATACATCATACCTATGTGGACCCTCTCAGTCTCCTCTAGTCTACTCACAAATAAACATATACACTCATAAGATATAAAGTCCCAATACTCTTATGGGGTATCTATCCCATAAAATCCTACAACTTTCTTACATTTTTTTCTCATACTCATACCTAACCTTGTAGAGACTTCACCTATTTATAACCATACAAACTTGCCCATTTAGAATCCCTTTCCTCTTTGAATTCTTCTCCTATAAGTCAAACTTACCTATTAAGAATCCATTTTCTCTTAGAATTCTTCTCTTACAAGTCAAACTTACCTATTAAGAATCTTCTTTCTCTTAGAATTCTCCTTTTGCAAGTCTTCTTGTCC